TAAGGTATAAATAATTCAATTTACACCTATTGCTTAAGTAATTGGGATGATTTAAATATTTGTCATAAAACAGGTCACAGCTACATATGCCCGGTCAAGAATGTACACTCAATGCCATGTACTAACAACAGAAAATTAAAGTACAACCATCAACTTCGCCAATCGCCAAATTAAATACAAATATTCAGGATGCAGGCGATGAGTCACAATAACGTGGCTAAAGTAGGTTGACCAGACCACACACACTAGAAGGTGAAGGGACGACGACGTTTCGGCCCGTCCTGGACCATTCTCAAGTCGATTGAGACTTGAGAATGGTTCAGGACGGACCGAAACGTCGTCGTCCCTTCACCTTCTAGTGTGTGGTCTGGTCAACAAATATTTACACATCTTACCAGTTGATTGACGGTTGAGAGGTGGGACCAAAGAGACATAGATCAACTAGGTGAGTATACACATACACACACACACACACACACACACACACACACACACACACACACACACACACACACACACACACACACACACACACACACACACAGGCCTCGTAGCCTGGTAGATAGCGCGCAGGACTCATAATTCTGTGGTGCGGGTTCGATTCCCGCACGAGGAAGAAACAAATGGGCAAAGTTTCTTTCACCCTGAATGCCCCTGTTACCTAGCAGTAAATAGGTACCTGGGAGTTAGTCAGCTGTCACGGGCTGCTTCCTGGGGTGTGTGTGTGTGTGTGTTCGGTGTGGGGAAAAAAAAAAAAAAAAGTGTAGTTAGTAAACAGTTGTAGATCTAGGGACCCGGGATCGATCCCGGGGCCATGGCGGAAACAAATGGGTAGAATTTCTTTCACCTTGATGCCCCTGTTACCTAGCAGTAAATAGGTACCTGGGAGTTAGACAGCTTCTACGGGTTGCTTCCTGTGTGTGTGTGTGTGTGTGTGTGTGTGTGTGTGTGTGTGTGTGTGTGTGTGTGTGTGTGTGTGTGAGTGTGTGTGTGTGTGTGTACTCACCTATTTGTACTCACCTATTTGTGCTTGCGGGGGTTGAGCTTTGGCTCTTTGGTCCCGCCTCTCAGCTGTCAATCAACTGGTGTACAGATTCCTGAGCCTACTGGGCTCTATCATATCTACATTTAAAACTGTGTATGGAGTCAGCCTCCACCACATCACTGCCTAATGCATTCCATCCGTTAACTACTCTGACACTGAAAAAGTTCCTTTTAACGTCTCTGTGGCTCATGTGGGTACTCAGTTTCCACCTGTGTCCCCTTGTTCGCGTCCCACCAGTGTTGAATAGTTTATCCTTGTTTACCCGGTCGATTCCTCTGAGGATTTTGTAGGTTGTGATCATGTCTCCCTTTACTCTTCTGTCTTCCAGTGTCGTAAGGTGTATTTCCCGCAGCCTTTCCTCGTAACTCATGCCTCTTAGTTCTGGGACTAGTATGGAGTATGCTGGGGCCGCATACTCCAGGATTGGTCTTACATATGTGGTGTACAAGATTCTGAATGATTCCTTACACAGGTTCCTGAACGCTGTTCTGATGTTAGCCAGCCTCGCATATGCCGCAGACGTTATTCTTTTTATGTGGGCTTCAGGAGACAGGTTTGGTGTGATATCAACTCCTAGATCTTTCTCTCTGTCCGTTTCATTAAGTACTTCACCTCCTATTCTGTATCCTGTGTCTGGCCTCCTGTTTCCACTGCCTAGTTTCATTACTTTGCATTTACGCACATTTTTTTTTTGTGTGTGTGTGTGTGTGTGTGTTTACTAGTTGTGTTTTTACGGGGGTTGAGCTTTGCTCTTTCGGCCCGCCTCTCAACTGTCAATCAACTGTTTACTAACTACTATTTTTTTTTTTTTTCCACACCACACACACGCACACACACACCAGGAAGCAGCCCGTGACAGCTGACTAACTCCCAGGTACCTATTTACTGCCTGGTAACAGGGGCCTTCAGGGTGAAAGAAACTTTGCCCATTTGTTTCTGCCTCGTGCGGGAATCGAACCCGCGCCACAGAATTACGAATCCTGCGCGCTATCCACCAGGCTACGAGGCCCCCTGTGTGTGTGTGTGTACTCACCTAGTTGTACTCACCTAGTTGTGTTTGCGGGGGTTGAGCTCTGGCTCTTTGGTCCCGCCTCTCAACCGTCAATCAACAGGTGTACAGATTCCTGAGCCTATCGGGCTCTGTCATATCTACACTTGAAACTGTGTATGGAGTCAGCCTCCACCACATCACTGCCTAATGCATTCCATCCGTTAACTACTCTGACACTGAAAAAGTTCCTTTTAACGTCTCTGTGGCTCATGTGGGTACTCAGTTTCCACCTGTGTCCCCTTGTTCGCGTCCCACCAGTGTTGAATAGTTTATCCTTGTTTACCCGGTCGATTCCTCTGAGGATTTTGTAGGTTGTGATCATGTCTCCCTTTACTCTTCTGTCTTCCAGTGTCGTAAGGTGTATTTCCCGCAGCCTTTCCTCGTAACTCATGCCTCTTAGTTCTGGGACTAGTCTAGTGGCATACCTTTGGACTTTTTCCAGCTTCGTCTTGTGCTTGACAAGGTACGGGCTCTATGCTGGGGCCGCATACTCCAGGATTGGTCTTACATATGTGGTGTACAAGATTCTGAATGATTCCTTACACAGGTTCCTGAACGCTGTTCTGATGTTAGCCAGCCTCGCATATGCCGCAGACGTTATTCTTTTTATGTGGGCTTCAGGAGACAGGTTTGGTGTGATATCAACTCCTAGATCTTTCTCTCTGTCCGTTTCATTAAGTACTTCACCTCCTATTCTGTATCCTGTGTCTGGCCTCCTGTTTCCACTGCCTAGTTTCATTACTTTGCATTTACGCACATTTTTTTTTTTTGTGTGTGTGTGTGTGTGTGTGTGTGTGTTTACTAGTTGTGTTTTTACGGGGGTTGAGCTTTGCTCTTTCGGCCCGCCTCTCAACTGTCAATCAACTGTTTACTAACTACTATTTTTTTTTTTTTTTTCACACCACACACACGCACACACACACCAGGAAGCAGCCCGTGACAGCTGACTAACTCCCAGGTACCTATTTACTGCCTGGTAACAGGGGCATTCAGGGTGAAAGAAACTTTGCCCATTTGTTTCTGCCTCGTGCGGGAATCGAACCCGCGCCACAGAATTACGAATCCTGCGCGCTATCCACCAGGCTACGAGGCCCCCTGTGTGTGTGTGTGTACTCACCTAGTTGTACTCACCTAGTTGTGTTTGCGGGGGTTGAGCTCTGGCTCTTTGGTCCCGCCTCTCAACCGTCAATCAACAGGTGTACAGATTCCTGAGCCTATCGGGCTCTGTCATATCTACACTTGAAACTGTGTATGGAGTCAGCCTCCACCACATCACTTCCTAATGCATTACATTTGTCAACCACTCTGACACTAAAAAAGTTCTTTCAAAAAAAAGAAAGTTCAAAAAAGTTGTGTGTGTGTGTGTGTGTGTGTGTGTGTGTGTGTGTGTGTGTGTGTGTGTGTGTGTGTGTGTGTGTGTGTGTGGAGAAAAAAAATGTTGATTGACAGTTGAGAGGCGGCCCGAAAGAGATGAGCTCAAACCCCGCAAGCACAACTAGGTGAGTACACACACACACGCTAGTGGGGCCTCGCGGTTGAGTGGACAGTGCTCGGGGGTCATAGTCCTGAAGGTCCGGGTTTGATTCCCGGCCGAGGCAAAAACAAATGGGCAGAGTTCCTTTTACCCTGATGCTCCTGTTAACCTAGCAGTAAATAGGTACCTGGGAGAATGAACAAATCCACAAGGGCTGTGACGAGGGTTCGAACCTACGTCCGAGAGCATCCCAGACGCTGCCTTAATCGACTGACCTACGACATGGTAAAAGAATTGCAACCGGGAAATCATCCTGACCTACCACGGGTCCTGCAGCCTCTCCGAGACACAAACCAGGGTTTTACACAATTCCCCCCATGCACCCGAGCTCTGCCAATAGGCTGTTTTACCTCTTCGCCCTTACTTCATTACACGCAGAAATCACCTCACCATATGCCGATTTATGATATTATGCCATAATCATATGTCGATTCGAAAACAACAACAACTTGCTATTGACGGTTGCAATTCTTTTAACCATGTCGTAGCTCAGTCGATATATGCAGATGTACCTAAATGTATCAATAAAAAAAAAGGAATGCTGGAAACCGTCCCTTATTTGTCGTCGTGGCCTCCATATCACCTCAGGTTGCACGTCTCCTGCTCTCCTTTTGGGGACGCCAGAAAACATGATTTCTGCACGTAGCCATACGAGCCTGGGTCAAATACCACCAGAGGTCACAGATAAGTTGAAAGAAGGTTTGAACTTTTCGTTTTCCCGTTTGATCTTCTTTCAGGGAGGTGGCTCGGCACCGGTTTGACAAAAGATGCCTGGGATCGGTAGATCTTGGAAGTGTTCTCATGTGCTCTCTCGGAATATGGTTATCTTGAGAGGTTATCTTGAGATGATTTCGGGGCTTTAGTGTCCCCGCGGCCCGGTCCTCGACCAGGCCTCCACCCCTAGGAAGCAGCCCGTGACAGCTGACTAACTCCCAGGTACCTATTTATTGCTAGGTAACAGGGGCATTTAGGGTGAAAGAAACTTTGCCCATTTGTTTCTATCTCGTGCGGGAATCGAACCCGCGCCACAGAATTACGAGTCCTGCGCGCTATCCACCAGGCTACGAGGCCCCCCTTGAGAACGTGGTAATAAACATCAGAGGTCCACGACTCTTCAACCTTTTGCCTACAAATATAAGAAACGACGCCGAAGCTGCAGTGGAAGTTTTAAACTTTACTAGTTTCTGCTGGAGTTACCTGACCAACCCAGCTGCAATAAATATGTTGGCCTGAAGGGTGCAAAAACAAACAGCCTCTCAGACCAGTCAGTGACAGGTTATCCCCAAACAAAATAATTTTCTGATCATAACAGTGTCTGAGGAACAAGTAAGGGACCTGTTAGTGTGTTTGGTAAACACACACTCGTGACATTACTGAACATAGTAGTGAATAAGGTTGTTAAGGTTGAACTCATCTGAAAGTGATAGTGATTGCACCCTAAAGGCAAGGTGTTCAGTCGGAGAAAACTTCCTGAAAGGATGTTCGTTTGCATAATCCATGTCTTCCGATGTCGCACTGTAGATGTTCTCCGTTTTCTTTGTTATGCTGCAGGAAACAAGAAAATATTTATTAGTGAAAGGTATGTGTAACGAAGGCTTTAACAGTGATATATGACTTTCATCTTGTGACAACAATTATTGAATTATATTACCAAAACTTCACGCCACAGCCTTCCCGGTATAATGCCTTCTTTTCATAATGACTTGCCAAAACTCCAGATAAAAATTCAAAGTCGATGGAATAATTAGGCCACAAAATCACCACCTTTTGGCACTCCTGTACCCTTCCGAAAGCTGTTAGCAATAACTCCACCACTCACTTGTCACGTGGACTGTATAGCTTAAGTGACCAGGACGTCAACTTCCAGCACTAATTAGGACAGGAAGATCTAAGACAGTACGTCAAATATCAGGAGAAAGCGCTTAGCCAGTAGGAATATATATATAATATGGAAGGGATATGAGGACAATGAGCTGCTAACAGGACGGAGGGAAGGAATGATGCCAAACCAATTGGCCCGTTGGGGATCGAACGCCGACCTGCAAGAAGCGATAGCCGTTGCTGTACCGACCAATCCAAGTGGCCGAAAATCTGTCAAAGTTATCTGACCTTTGATTATTATTTCCTTTAATCCTCTGAGACACTATTAAAAATGTCTCAGAGGATTAAATGAGGTTTAATAAGGCAAAGATACGACCACATTGACAGTACCTTCAGCGTCTGTGAATGGCATGAACAAACTACATACTATTTCCTCTAACCCCCTCCTCCCCCTCCCCCCCCCAAACAAAAAAAGTTCACATCTAGTATTATTGCATAACTAAAAATCCATAACAAACACTGCAGCAACATAACCGAAACTCTCATATACGTAATAAAGCAATCCTAGTTTAATATATACAATTTTGGGCTCAAGTTTTTTGTGCGGAAGTCAATATTTTGCACATTCATTGACAGCTGCTGTAGTAAATAGCATTTCTGATGAATATAAACAAAGGCCTAAAAGTCAGGATATGACCAAACGTCTAAGAGTCAAGCCTTGACCAAAAGTCTAAGAGTCAAGCCATGAATAAGGTCCAAGTAATCGCAGTAGTTTTGCTTCCAGGTGCCAAATAAAAGACCTACAGCTTCCTGGCCCACCAACCGATTTTTTAAAATGCTATATAATCCATCGTTATCCAGCAACACGTGTTACCAAGATATCCAATGACCCACCAGAAGGGGGAGTTGGGGCAGCCGACGATGTAGAGCTGGTTACCGTAGAAGGAAGCTGTGTACATCATCTGCAGGTTCTCGAGGGTGTAGTGGTCGTCGAGGCCCAGACACTGACGAATACAGGAACGCGCTACATAATGGATTTCCAGACGCAAACAAACATACACATATAATGTAAACATTCAACCAAAATTGGTAAAATATAACCATGATTGATGTGGTAATATGACAGCGTGGTTGAGACGATTTACACGGAAGGGAAGAGGAACTGACCTTTGCAACCACATAGTAGGATCCAGTAGAGCCTATCTCCAGCGGCTGGTCCACGTACACCACATAGCTCATGTTCACCTGGAGAACAGCAGGATATGTTATTGAGGAGGAACGGGGACGACCAGCTGGGTGCTTCATCCTGGGCTGGGGTGACCAACTGGGGGCTGCGTCATGGGGAAAGACTGGATATTCAAGTATAGCCACAGATCTATACCAACTCTCTCTCGGAAAGACAACGTGAAGGTAACCTTACATTGGCATAGTACTTGGCACTCACCTGGTGCCGGGGTATGGGCAGCTGACATTGGCACTCACCTAGTGCCGGGGTATGGGCAGCTGACATTGGCACTCACCTGGTGCCGGGGTATGGGCAGCTGACATTGGCACTCACCTGGTGCCGGGGTATGGGCAGCTCCACACACGGGTGCTTACTGAAGTGCACCACATGTCCTGTACGGATGTTCCTTGTGTGCAACTTGAGGTAGTTGTGCAGCTCTGCCCTGTGGACCAGCACGTGTTTCATGTAAAATATTATATATTTCATTGTCTTAATGTTATTTTGAGTTCAACTAAATAATTCGAGAACTGAATCAATGAATAGTTGACTAAACTATAGTCATGACTTTTTGTACAAATCTGATGTCACTGAATATAGACATTTTCTTTGTTTTTATATGAGAGAAAGCCATAAGTATTCCAGTATAATGAATTATTAATTAACTATTGCTTGCTAATCATAGATTATTGACTGAAAAATTCTCTTAACTGTAGACGTTGAGGCTGACATGCTTTCCCTTGGAGGTCGAAGGAGTCAAACATACCCGAGGACTTGATAATTACTTGATAATTCTTGATAATTATTATAAAAGTATGTTATCTTTATATAGATTTAACCAAATTTTATAATAACTTTAAAGTGTGGGGTAGAATATAGGCAAACTGGAGACTGAATAGTAATTAGCACACTACTCAAAGGGCTTGCCGATATATTCCCACTGTAATGACAGGAAGGTTCTTATTCCCCATTCTCTTCATGTTAACTGTACTATTAATGGAGTGCCCGTGGAGACGTGTGAGTCTTATAAATATCTTGGAATTGAGGTTAATGATACAAATCTCATCAGCAACCTTCGCAAAAAAACTTGTTGAGTGTCTTAAACCTCTCAAAATTCTTGTGGGCAAAGGATTTGGCATTAACATAAAAAATCCTCGTAGTTTTTATATTGCCTTTATACGATCTGTTGTTGATTACTATGCCTTGCATCTTCCTTAATTTTTCTCCTAAACAACTACAAGGCCTAGATGTAGTACAAAATGATGCCATGCAAACTTTCCTGGGGTGATGCGCATCCATTAGGAAAGAAAAAGGATGAGAGGGAAAGGGCAGAGAAAGAAGGGGCAAAAGAATGGGAGAGAGGGAGCAAGCAAGAGAGAGACACAGATAAAGGGAGAAAGAGTGAGAGGGGGAGGAAATTAAGGAAAGATAGAGAACAGAGAAAGGTCTCCTCTAGATGTATGTTATAACAAACTTACCCATGGACGTGGAGGGTGACAACTTACCCATGGACGTGGAGGGTGACAACTTACCCGTGGACGTGGAGGGTGACAACTTACCCGTGGACGTGGAGGGTGACAACTTACCCGTGGACGTGGAGGGTGACAACTTACCCGTGGACGTGGAGGGTGACAACTTACCCATGGACGTGGAGGGTGACAACTTACCCGTGGACGTGGAGGGTGACAACTTACCCATGGACGTGGAGGGTGACAACTTACCCATGGACGTGGAGGGTGACAACTTACCCGTGGACGTGGAGGGTGACAACTTACCCATGGACGTGGAGGGTGACAACTTACCCGTGGACGTGGAGGGTGACAACTTACCCGTGGACGTGGAGGGTGACAACTTACCCGTGGACGTGGAGGGTGACAACTTACCCGTGGACGTGGAGGGTGACAACTTACCCGTGGACGTGGAGGGTGACAACTTACCCGTGGACGTGGAGGGTGACAACTTACCCGTGGACGTGGAGGGTGACAACTTACCCGTGGACGTGGAGGGTGACAACTTACCCGTGGACGTGGAGGGTGACAACTTACCCGTGGACGTGGGGGGTGACAACTTACCCGTGGAGGTCGAGGGTGACGTTGAGGAGAGCGTTGAGGGGCCGCTGGTTGTAGTACTGCTCTTGTTCTATACCGGTGACGTGGACTCCCCCTCCCCCACGGTGCTTGGTGCGTGGGATCTCCGGCACCAGGATGTCCCGATCACCCATTATGGTCTGTCTCGTCCACAGGTCCCAGTCTATACCCTGTGGCACATACCACATTTATTGTTACCCAACCTTAGAGATCCATTTACCTATCAGAATGGGTACATAATGAGCCTAGTAAATGTAGCCTAATGAAAGTAAATGTGGACTAATGAAGTTAATGTTAACATTAGCAATACGACATATATATATATATATATATATATATATATATATATATATATATATATATATATATATATGTATATATATACATAAAGAATAAGGATGACAAATTGGGTTTAGCTCCACATCAGCAAGTTGAGGCAGCTGACCAAGTGAAATCTGATTAATATCAGAGGTTGACAAAGCCAGCCCGTCTTATCGAGTTGTCACGACATCAACAAAAATGATGTATTAAATAGCCTGGACCTAACCTAACTTAACCGATGGAATACTAATGAAAAACGCAACAGCCCGTCAATTTAGTGAGCCGCTATGATTTATACCACATCATATTTTGACGCTGGCTGATTTTTACGTCAAAATACGATGTATTATACGTGAGGACAGACTGTGGCGATATAAGTGAAACAATAGATCCACACCATGAGGTAAATGCAGGTGTCTGGTGCAATGTGGCTAAAGGTCTGTAGGGTATTTTTAGTTTTTATTTTTTTTAATAAATGTGATAGTCTTGGCTTTATTTATTTTTGTTTTACCCCATTATAGCAAACTTCCGCACATTAATTAGTTAGTTGTAATCTGGAGGAATTGTTTTGGACCTTGCCTGAGGGTAAACTTTTAATATGGAATGTAGTTTAACCAGTTAATGATAAGCAACTAAAACGTTAATCATCTGGTAGTACAGCAGTAATATGGCATCTTGGGAGGTGGGACATCAGTAATATGGCATCTTGGGAGGTGGGACATCAGTAATATGGCATCTTGGGAGGTGGGACAGCAGTAATATAGCATCTTGGGAGTTGGTACAGCAGTAATATAGCATCTTGGGAGGTGGGACAGCAGTAATATAGCATCTTGGGAGTTGGGACAGCAGTAATATAGCATCTTGGGAGTTGGGACAGCAGTAATATAGCATCTTGGGAGTTGGGACAGCAGTAATATAGCATCTTGGGAGTTGGGACAGCAGTAATATAGCATCTTGGGAGGTGGGACATCAGTAATATGGCATCTTGGGAGGTGGGACATCAGTAATATGGCATCTTGGGAGTTGGGACAGCAGTAATATAGCATCTTGGGAGTTGGGACAGCAGTAATATAGCATCTTGGGAGTTGGGACAGCAGTAATATAGCATCTTGGGAGTTGGGACAGCAGTAATATAGCATCTTGGGAGTTGGGACAGCAGTAATATAGCATCTTGGGAGTTGGGACAGCAGTAATATAGCATCTTGGGAGTTGGGACAGCAGTAATATAGCATCTTGGGAGTTGGGACAGCAGTAATATAGCATCTTGGGAGTTGGGACAGCAGTAATATAGCATCTTGGGAGGTGGGACATCAGTAATATGGCATCTTGGGAGTTGGGACAGCAGTAATATAGCATCTTGGGAGGTGGGACATCAGTAATATAGCATCTTGGGAGGTGGGACAGCAGTAATATAGCATCTTGGGAGGTGGGACAGCAGTAATATGGCATCTTGAAAGGTAGGACAGCAGTAATATGGCATCTTGGGAGTTGGGACAGCAGTAATATAGCATCTTGGGAGGTGGGACAGCAGTAATATAGCATCTTGGTAGGTGGGACAGCAGTAATATGGCATCTTGGGAGTTGGGACAGCAGTAATATAGCATCTTGGGAGGTGGGACAGCAGTAATATGGCATCTTGAAAGGTAGGACAGCAGTAATATAGCATCTTGGGAGGTGGGACAGCAGTAATATGGCATCTTGGGAGTTGGGACAGCAGTAATATAGCATCTTGGGAGGTGGGACAGCAGTAATATGGCATCTTGGGAGGTGGGACAGCAGTAATATGGCATCTTGGGAGGTGGGACAGCAGTTGCCTGTGTTTTTTTTTTTAATGTAGATTTTTAACTCCCTATAAAAAAAGGGAACACACATCACCATGTAAACAAAGTTCAATCCCTTCGTGTGTCACGTGGGAATCAATACCCCGACAGTACGGGAACCATTACAACTCTTCCTCTCACCTAATACGTTGCAATATTAACTAAATCGACCAATCCACTAAACAAATTGCGACGTATTTGTAAAACTGTAAGCCCTGTAATATTGACGTTTTCTATGCATCGACATCGATATGTTAGGTAGGTTGCTTGGGTTCATACGTTTCTGGCTAGGTGAAACAGTCGTATTTTTAAGTGTTAAATCGAGAGACCCGGTTGACGAAGGTATACTTCTTGTTATCAAACAAGTATATCAAAGAGGCGACACGAATCTGGAGTCAGATTCACGAAGCAGTTACGCAAGCATTTACGAACCTGTACATCTTTCCTCAATCTTTGGCGGCTTTGGTTACATTTATTAAACAGTTTACAAGCATGAAAACTTGCCAATCAACTGTTGTTATTGTTATAAACAGCCTCCTGGTGCTTCGGAGCTCATTAACTGTTTAATAATTGTAAACAAAGCCCCAAAGATTGAGAAAAGCTCTACATGTTCGTAAGTGCTTGCGTAACTGCTTCGTGAATCTGGCCCCCCTGGTTCGTAAGTGCTTGCATAACTGCTTCGTGAATCTGACCCCAGTTGTGTAAAATAATATATGTTCTGACCTCTCCCGTAGATGGCCATTTGTTGATCATCTGTTGAGCCACATGCCTCCTGACCATCCAGCCGCAGCCAGGGACCCCGTGGACCCTGTAGAGACGTGTGGGGTCCAGGGCCGTGTGGCTGAAGGCGTTGTGGTTGTAGGCCCCGACGCAAAACAATTTCGGGTCTGATGTGAGCAGTTGAGCTGCTTGGTGAAAGTACCTGAAGAATGTTTTTATTAACCAGGAGGCAAATTATTATTATTATTGTGACTGATCTTATGCCAGATTTGCAATGAACTAATTAACATTTGTGATGAGATGATGACAATTCATTAAAAATATTTCAGAAAATAGAGAAATTTGGGAAAGAACATTAGTCATAATCGATTATTTATTTATTTAATTCCTAGATGGGATATCCTGCGGTGCCCAGGTCTCCCTCACACACCCTATCTTTCCCCACACACCCTCCTCTGTCTCCCTTTCACACACACACACACACACACACACACACACACACACACACACACACACACACACACACACACACACACACACACTCCCTGTCTCCCTCACACACTCCCTATACCCAGAGGGTATAGACTCATTCCTCTCAATGTTTGCTGACGACGCCAAAATTATGAGAAGGATTAAGACAGAGGAGGACAGCTTGAGGCTTCAAGAAGACCTGGACAAGCTGCAGGAATGGTCGAACAAATGGATGTTTGAGTTTAACCCAAGCAAATGTAATGTAATGAAGATAGGGGTAGGAAGCAGGAGACCAGATACAAGGTATCACTTGGGAGATGAAATACTTCAAGAGTCAGAGAGAGAGAAAGACCTGGGGGTTGATATCACGCCAGACCTGTCCCCTGAAGCTCATATCAAGAGGATAACATCAGCAGCATATGCCAGGTTGACTAACATAAGAACGGCCTTTAGAAACTTGTGTAAGGAATCTTTCAGAACATTATATACCACATATGTCAGACCAATCCTGGAGTATGCGGCTCCAGCATGGAGTCCACATCTAGTCAAGCATAAGACTAAACTGGAAAAGGTTCAAAGGTTTGCCACCAGACTAGTACCCGAGCTGAGAGGTATGAGCTACGAGGAGAGACTACGGGAATTGAACCTCACTTTGTTGGAAGACAGAAGAGTTAGGGGGGACATGATCACCACATTCAAGATTCTCAAGGGAATTGACAGGGTTGATAAAGACAGGCTGTTTAACACAAGGGGCACACGCACTAGGGGACACAGGAGGAAACTGAACGCCCAAATGAGCCACAGAGATATTAGAAAGAACTTTTTTAGTGTCAGAGTGGTTGACAAATGGAATGCATTAGGAAGCAATGTGGTGGAGGCTGACTCCATACACAGTTTCAAGTGTAGATATGATAGAGCCCAATAGGCTCAGGAACCTGTACACCTGTTGATTGACGGTTGAGAGGCGGGACCAAAGAGCCAGAGCTCAACCCCCGCAAGCACAACTAGGTGAGTACAACTAGGTGAGCACACACCCTCCCCATCTCCTCCCTACCATTGTAACCATCTTAGCTGCACACATCTCTTTCACTGTAACCAAATGGTTGCATCCAGAATGTAAATCTTCCAACGAAAAGTTCGTTTTACATGTCATTTTCTGAATTCTATAATGGTTAAACAAATGCTAAAGTCTACATACAGATTTTGAGCAGAATATTCCACACGTAATAACTTCGTGAAAAGGGAACATAGGAGCTGACTCCCCATCACGGGGGCATGAGGCCGACCCTCAAGTCTCCTGTGACACTCCTTATTAAATCATAATTAATCCAACAATGTTTAATGAGGCTAGCCCTAAGCCTCTGATATCCAACCTTTGACATACAAACATTCTGTTTTATAGACATAGATTTTAACAGGCTTCGTAGATTAAGACATTTTATTCTGAAAGTCATGAAATAAACTTTAGGTTGATGTGAGTCATAAGCTCAGAAGCACAAGAAAATGGATATTATACAAACTATAGAACTTTATACGAGTGCATATTTTTGAGTGCCATTTTTAAATGTCATAATATCAAGAAATTATATTAATCTTAAACTAGTTGACAAATTAAGAAATAAGATGGTCCTTACGGGATGATGTCTGGGGCAAGCTCAAGGTCGTCCTCCAAGATGATGGCCTTGTCTGCTTTGGGGTGCTGCTCGAACACTCGAGACAAGACCAGCTTCATGTGAGAGGAGATACGAGTTAACGAACCTGCAGCAGAAACATTTGTAGTTTTCAAGATCAAAATACATAAAATACCAGTGTTTTACAATGATTAATATAATTATAGTATTCTTTAGCAAATGAGCGATGGAAAAACTCGCCTTTATATGCGGGATTGTGGTGTTGGACTAGAGGGAGGTGGAGGAGGGCAGCCAGCGCCTGGGCCTCGGGGTTGTGGCCGTCGACAAAGATGGTGATGGGTGTGTTGGTGCCGCCGGGGCTGGCCCACACCTGCCCCACCTGACGCAGGACGTGGGGCAGCCGGCGAGCTGTCACTATGGCCACAGGGATCACCTCCTTCATCTCGTACTCCACCTCATACACAACACTATTAGTCCGCAGACCTTACAACAACCAATTGTAACATTTTAAAGTATTACAGCATTACATGTTAACCAAAATTCCGCAAGACACAATACGGAATTTCTTTCCTTGTTATATAACATGTTTTGTAAGTTGGACAATAGGAGCAATATCTTACTGGGTGTTGTGGGAGGGGCGACCAGGGCGGGTGGTGACAGGTGCAGAAGTCACCATAACCGTCATAAGTGTCACAGAAGGCGGCCCTCTCCTGCAGCCCCGCCACGCCATACCACCCACACCCTCCACCTGGAAGGAAAAGGTGGAACTGTCGAGACGATTATCAAAAGTGTCTGAGATCTCGGCGCATACGAACTTGAGATTTCAAACAACTCAAGCATCATGGCAGTAAACTGTGTATACTTAACAGAACATGTATCTCCAGAACTTAGAGGGGGGAAAAAGTTGAATATAAAAAAATAATGTAATCTAAGTCACTGGAACAAAATATAAAGCAATCTCAAACAAAAGAATTTTGGCTGATTTCAAAGGCTGGTTTAAGATCGGCAGTAATACACTTAAGATTTTTTTTTTTTTTGTAAAAATGTACAATCGAATAATTTAAATAATTCCTTCTCAAAAATCATACATTATCTATGGTAGAATCAATAGTTATTAATACGTTTAAATAATTTTTTTTATTATGAACTATTGTTAAAGTCACGACATGAACTAAATGTTTCTGAAAAATGTGGAATACAATATTTAGACCAGGTCTGTAGAAGCGATATGATCACAACTCCACTACACAGTGACTGGAAACGCACTGGTCTGACATGATTAGGCACGCCAGAGAAAATAAACTTCATTTAATAATATGGCACCAAATTGCTCAGTAAGATACAAAAAGTCACGATAATTTAACTTTAAATGATATTCTTGACCATGACATCATAAAAACAATCCTTCTGCATCTACTTAAATTCGTATTCATTTTCCCAGACATACTTCTTAAAAAATTTAAAGTAGACCAGGCACTTAACTACTCAGTATAGATGACAACATTGCTTGCTATTATCAACAAGGTTTCTACCCTGACTGGGCCAACTTTACTGATATTAAAACTCTGTACAAATTCGAAAACAGAAAATCATCCCATTTTCATTGCTAAGTCAAGCACAATGAATTACGAATCTCATAGCTGTGTGTGATCAACACGTCTCACAGATGATCTCCTAAAACATGCTTTGTTTAATATACAAACTGCAGAAAAGGTGTTAAAATGACCAAGATATTCTACAGATATCAGGTTATAATGATTTTATATATGTATGTAATAATATATCACAGTGTATCAAAGCTGCAGGAACACGCAAGCCGTAGATCAGTAAGAACTCTTATTGACCCGGCCAGGATTCGAACCCATGCCGTCCACTATCACCCCTAATCGTACACAGTACGTGTACGTTTTGTGACAAGGTTTATCTTTGATAAATGCAAAGTCTTGAACTTTTGAAGTGACTGTGACACTGCTAAATGAATGATGCAGATTTTCACTTTCTTCTACTAATTCTATTACTTTACGTTGAGCACTCACCTGCCTTGCGAGGTATAGAGGCGTGAAGAGTGAGTGGCGTCACGTCCAGCATAGTGAAGTTGTTGTCAAGCACGAGTTCGTTGAGACTGTGTGGCGGGAGGAAGGTGGTGGTGAGGGCCTCGAGCAGCACCCCGCCGCCCTTGTGCACCAGCAGGCACCACGCGTCCTTGTAGGCCAACCTGTCGATGTAGAGGGCGCCCATCTCCTCCAGCACCCGTATTGTCGCCTCTCCCAGGAACGACGTGAAGTCCGGCTGTCGTGTTAAGTTGTTCAGTTATTCACCAATGTATTTTTTCACTTCAGATGCTCTAAACTAGAGAGTATAAAGTAAGCAATTATAGTTCACAAGTATTTATGTCATGACTAAACTCCAACATAAAAACCTCTGAAAATCAACTTCAGCTATTTTATAATTGTCTCTGGTAATTAAGATTTCAAGTATCATTATTACCATTGGGATCAATATATGATCACTACTCTACGGAAATTGAATTCCTGACTCGTGTAATGACTGTTGGATGTCACAATTGACTTAAGAATGGTCCAAGACGGACCCAAACGTCGTCGTCCCTTCACTTTCTAGTGTGTGGTCTGGTCAACAGTGTTAGATGGGAATTTCTGCCAGTTCCGTACCACTAATTAACCTTCCATACGGTGACAAGGCACTCAAGATATACGGGTCTTGAGAGATACACAGACACATTACACAAAGGTTATATAAGATTGTTAGGGATATAGTCTACTGTTGTTTATATAAAAATATACTTTCTTAGGAAGCCAAAAAGAGACGAGAACCAGCTGGCAGTCTTTTTAGCTCGAGCAAAATATGAATTCGTCAGCTTCGGAATGAACTCCATTATTTGAAAGAGATTTTTAAGTTCACATTGCGATGAAGTTTTTAAATTATTAATATATTTTCTGAAAGAATTTAAAATTATTGTTCAATGAAGAGTTTACTTATAAGCTTATTTGGCTTTATTCATTACACAAGAGCGAGCACGTAGAAGTCATCTTCACAACCTCAACACCTACCGCTCCGAGGATGACCAAGAGGCGACCATTCTGAATGTCGTTCAATCCCTCGAGGAAAGCTTTATCAAGGGCGGGCTGCCAGGTCATGTAGGAGTGAGCGGCCATGACCCGACCCGTGACCGGGTGCAGGGTCACCAGGTGCAGGCCGCAGGACATGTTATACTTCAAATCCTTGTATACCTGCCGAGGACAGTAAGCGTGAGCTGGTCCTGGTCACCATGAATTGTGTAGTAAAGTCATGTTAAAGTGAGATTGTAATGCAAGTGTTAAGGGAGAGAGAGAGAGAGAGAAAGAATTATGAATTACTGTTGTTTTTGGTATTTACCCCAATATATAGGTTACATATAACTTATATAATCAGTCAATAACCTTATTCATAAACGCTTGTTATGTACATTTACAGTTGGGTTATTTTACACAAATTTACAGTGAATTATTTACATAAGAAAAAGTCATAATAACAACATAACATGAAATATATGACGATGAGCATAAAATTTATTCAATTTACAGGACTGATATGTAATAATCATTCGATGAATTTATACAAAAATTTGTTACACCCTCAGCAGTCTCATTCCCAACACACTGTTCTAACAATATATAGATCTGACTCCAATAGGACTCAAAATGCCTGTCAATAAGCCATCTCCTTTGTAGACAGTAGTTTTTGTAGACATATATATATATATATATATATATATATATATATATATATATATATATATATATATATATATGTAACTGAAAACTCACACCCCAGAAGTAACTCGAACCCATACTGCCAGGAGCAATGCAACTGGTATGTACAGGGACGCCTTAATCCGCTTGACCATCACGACCGGACAATAAGGAAGTGATAGCCGAAGCTATTTGAACCACTTCCCCGCCGGCACTCGGATGGTAATCTTGGGCATAGCATTTTATCAAATCACCTCATTCTTTGGGGCACACGTGAGGAACACAAATGCGAACAAGCCTGAATGGTCCCCAGGACTATATGCAACTGAAAACTCACACCCCAGAAGTGACTCCTGGTAGTATGGGTTCGAGTCACTTCTGGGGTGTGAGTTTTCAGTTGCATATAGTCCTAGGGACCATTCAGGCTTGTTCGCATATATATATGTCTGTGTGTGTGTATATATATATATATATATATATATATATATATATATATATATATATATATATATATATATATATATATATATATATATATATATATATGCAATTGACGATCACAAAACACTGATCATTTTATGCGGAAAATCCACAGAGAAATATGAAATGAGGTGAACGTTTCGGCTTTGTTAAAGCCTTTGTCAACACCAGCTGGTGTTGACAAAGGCTTTAACAAAGCCGAAACGTTCACCTCATTTCATATTTCTCTGTGGATTTTCCGCATATATATATATATATTAGTATATTTTGGTAGCAGTCTTTCCTGAAGACATATATTATTAAATATGACCGAAAAAGTAAGATTAATAATTCTAACACGAATTTTCTCAATCTTTCGTACATTTCTTTTCACTGTTGGAGGTAAATCAAAAATCAATTCTCCAAAATTCATTTTTATTTCTAGTCTGACGCGACACGAGCGCGTTTCGTAAAACTTATTATATTTTCAAAGACTTTAGTTCACAAATACACAACTGAATAGAACTTACCCATCTCCGATTTTATATCTACATTTGAGTGAGGTGGAAGGGGGTGATGTGGCATTAACACAAGACAGAACAAGATGTGGCATTAATAGGGTATTCATTTCATCAACACAAGACAGAACAAGAAGTGGTATTAATAGGGTATTAATTTCATCAACACAAGACAGAACACGAAACAATGGATATTGAATAGAAGTGTTTGTAGAAAGCCTATTGGTCCATATTTCTTGATGCTTCTATATTGGAGCGGAGTCTTGAGGTGGGTAGAATATAGTTGTGCAATAATTGGCTGTTGATTGCTGGTGTTGACTTCTTGATGTGTAGTGCCTCGCAAACGTCAAGCCGCCTGCTATCGCTGTATCTATCGATGATTTCTGTGTTGTTTACTAGGATTTCTCTGGCGATGGTTTGGTTGTGGGAAGAGATTATATGTTCCTTAATGGAGCCTTGTTGCTTATGCACCGTTAAACGCCTAGAAAGAGATGTTGTTGTCTTGCCTATATACTGGGTTTTTTGGAGCTTACAGTCCCCAAGAGGGCATTTGAAGGCATAGACGACGTTAGTCTCTTTTAAAGCGTTCTGTTTTGTGTCTGGAGAGTTTCTCATGAGTAGGCTGGCCGTTTTTCTGGTTTTATAGTAAATCGTCAGTTGTATCCTCTGATTTTTGTCTGTAGGGATAACGTTTCTATTAACAATATCTTTCAGGACCCTTTCCTCCGTTTTATGAGCTGTGGAAAAGAAGTTCCTGTAAAATAGTCTAATAGGGGGTATAGGTGTTGTGTTAGTTGTCTCTTCAGAGGTTGCATGGCTTTTCACTTTCCTTCTTATGATGTCTTCGACGAAACCATTGGAGAAGCCGTTATTGACTAGGACCTGTCTTACCCTACAGAGTTCTTCGTCGACTTGCTTCCATTCTGAGCTGTGGCTGAGAGCACGGTCGACATTTGCGTTAACAACACTCCTCTTGTACCTGTCTGGGCAGTCGCTGTTGGCATTTAGGCACATTCCTATGTTTGTTTCCTTAGTGTAGACTGCAGTGTGGAAACCTCCGCCCTTTTCCATGACTGTTACATCTAGAAAGGGCAGCTTCCCATCCTTTTCCATCTCGTAAGTGAAACGCAGCACAGAACTCTGCTCAAATGCCTCCTTCAGCTCCTGCAGATGTCTGACATCAGTTACCTGTGTAAAAATGTCGTCAACATACCTGCAGTATATGGCCGGTTTCAAGTTCATGTCGACTAAGACTTTTTGCTCGATGGTACCCATGTAGAAGTTTGCAAACAGGACACCTAGGGGAGAACCCATGGCGACCCCATCTACTTGCTTATACATGTGCCCATCCGGGCTCAAGAAGGGTGCCTCTTTAGTACAAGCTTGGAGTAGTTTCCTCAGAATATTTTCTGGTATGTCAAGAGGAGTACAGGCTGGATCACGATACACTCTGTCGGCTATCATTCCGATTGTCTCGTCCACAGGTACGTTGGTAAACAGCGATTCTACGTCCAACGAGGCTCTTATCCCTGTGGCCCGTGTGCCCCGCAGTAAGTCAACAAATTCCTTTGGAGACTTCAGGCTGAAGGCGCAAGGAACATAAGGAGTCAGCAAGCCGTTGAGTCGCTTCGCCAGTCTGTACGTGGGTGTGGGTATCTGGCTAATGATTGGCCGAAGTGGGTTTCCAGGCTTGTGTGTCTTGACACGCATATCTTGCCTGGATATGCGTATGGAAATGTCAAGACACAGAAGCCTGGAAACCCACTTCGGGCAATCATTAGCCAGATACCCACACCCCACGTACAGACTGGCAAAGCGACTCAACGGCCTGCTGACTCCTTATGTTCCTTGCGCCTTCAGCCTGAAGTCTCCAAAGGAATTTGTTGACTTACTGCGGGGCACACGGGCCACAGGGATAAGAGCCTCGTTGGACGTAGAATCGCTGTTTACCAACGTACCTGTGGACGAGACAATCGGAATGATAGCCGACAGAGTGTATCGTGATCCAGCCTGTACTCCTCTTGACATGCCAGAAAGTATTCTGAGGAAACTACTCCAAGCTTGTACTAAAGAGGCACCCTTCTTGAGCCCGGATGGGCACATGTATAAGCAAGTAGATGGGGTCGCCATGGGTTCTCCCCTAGGTGTCCTGTTTGCAAACTTCTACATGGGTACCATCGAGCAAAAAGTCTTAGTCGACATGAACTTGAAACCGGCCATATACTGCAGGTATGTTGACGACATTTTTACACAGGTACCTGATGTCAGACATCTGCATGGGCTGAAGGAGGCATTTGAGCAGAGTTCCGTGCTGCGTTTCACTTACGAGATGGAAAAGGATGGGAAGCTGCCCTTTCTAGATGTAACAGTCATGGAAAAGGGCGGAGGTTTCCACACTGCAGTCTACACTAAGGAAACGAACATAGGAATGTGCCTAAATGCCAACAGCGACTGCCCAGACAGGTACAAGAGGAGTGTTGTTAACGCATATGTCGACCGTGCTCTCAGCCACAGCTCAGAATGGAAGCAAGTCGACGAAGAACTCTGTAGGGTTAGACAGGTCCTAGTCAATAACGGCTTCTCCAATGGTTTCGTCGAAGACATCATAAGAAGGAAAGTGAAAAGCCATGCAACCTCTGAAGAGACAACTAACACAACACCTATACCCCCTATTAGACTATTTTACAGGAACTTCTTTTCCACAGCTCATAAAACGGAGGAAAGGGTCCTGAAAGATATTGTTAATGGAAACGTTATCCCTACAGACAAAAATCAGAGGATACAACTGACGATTTACTATAAAACCAGAAAAACGGCCAGCCTACTCATGAGAAACTCTCCAGACACAAAACAGAACGCTTTAAAAGAGACTAACGTCGTCTATGCCTTCAAATGCCCTCTTGGGGACTGTAAGCTCCAAAAAACCCAGTATATAGGCAAGACAACAACATCTCTTTCTAGGCGTTTAACGGTGCATAAGCAACAAGGCTCCATTAAGGAACATATAATCTCTTCCCACAACCAAACCATCGCCAGAGAAATCCTAGTAAACAACACAGAAATCATCGATAGATACAGCGATAGCAGGCGGCTTGACGTTTGTGAGGCACTACACATCAAGAAGTCAACACCAGCAATCAACAGCCAATTATTGCACAACTATATTCTACCCACCTCAAGACTCCGCTCCAATATAGAAGCATCAAGAAATATGGACCAATAGGCTTTCTACAAACACTTCTATTCAATATCCATTGTTTCGTGTTCTGTCTTGTGTTGATGACATTAATACCCTATTAATACCACTTCTTGTTCTGTCTTGTGTTGATGAAATTAATACCCTATTAATGCCACATCTTGTTCTGTCTTGTGTTAATGCCACATCACCCCTTCCACCTCACTCAAATGTAGATATAAAATCGGAGATGCGTAAGTTCTATTCAGTTGTGTATTTGTGAACTAAAGTCTTTGAAAATGTAATAAGTTTTACGAAACGCGCTCGTGTCGCGTCAGACTAGAAATAAAAATGAATTTTGGAGAATTGATTTTTGATTTACCTCCAACAGTGAAAAGAAATGTACGAAAGATTGAGAAAATTCCTGTTAGAATTATTACTCTTCATTTTTCCATCATATTTAATAATATATATATATATATATATATATATATATATATATATATATATATATATATATATATATATATATATATATATATATATATATATATAAGCTTAAATGGTCCCCCAAGCACATATATCACTATAACCGGCGGCCTGCATTCGAATCGACTATGCGATCATTGAGTTACAGTGATATACATACACATATACATATAATAAAAGGATACAACAGGGAACCCTGAGGAACGTTGCTACTGACATTTTTCCACTTTGGTTTTACTCCATTAATGAGGCTTACAATGGTTCTTGTCTTTCAACCAAGGTCTAATCCACCTTAATAGTCTCTTCCACTGCAATGAGCTTAAATATTTCTGGTCAACCTCTCATGCAGAACAATACAAAAAACCTTTACACACAGAAATCACAATAGCGTGAATGCATCAAATGAACAAATCCACAAGGGCCGGACGTAGGTTCGAACCCTCGTCACGGCTCTTGTGAATTTGTTCACGAAAAACCTTACTGTGGCCAAGGTAATCAACGTCATTATTTTCTACTGACTCAAATTTGGAAACAATAATATATTTTTTGAAACTATGCTAAGTCTTTTATGAAATAATTTTGGTGAGATGACTTCTTATTCAATTTGCTACCAGTACTCAAGGAACTTTTCCACGATTGATGTTAAGCTAATCGGGAAATAGTTTGGTAAGTGTGAGGTTTATCCATCTCCTAACAAATGTGTTCTGCATTAACTACCCTCCAAGCAACAGAGACAATCCTTAACCACAGAGCACAATGCATTCTTGTTCAACTCTGCCGAATGTTTCATCATGTCAATGAAACTGGTAGTTTATTTTGCTCGTTTTACGCATAAAAATGGATTGCGGGACCTTCCGGTAGTGAACTCTGTTATGACCACTGCGCTACGGGATCCCACAAATATTGACAGGTACTCCTATGTCGCGCGTAGTGCAGGTAAAGCACTTGACTTTCTAGAAGAGGAAATAGTCTAGTTTTAAGTCATAAATACAGGACAGGACATGGATTACTAGAATAGTGTCCTGTGGTTAATTCGGGGAATATCCTAGCACACGCAGCACGCACACAAAAACAATCTGTGAGCCTCACCTGGCGACCGTCCACAGTCAGAGCAACACCTGTCAAGTTGACAGTGATATCCAGGACCAGATGATCGTCTGGGCTTACTGCTGGGGCCACGGAAGCTGCGTCTGCTTCTTCGTCTCCGGGCGAGGAGCCCGTGGCGGACTCTCCATTTCCGGGAAGAGAAACATTAGTGCCTGGGTTGTCTCTGGGAAGTATGGTTTCAATAGTCACTTCTCCCAACGTGGAGTTCTCGCCGGCAGCTTCAGTGGCAACTGTAGTGTCTTGGATCATGTGTGTAATGTCTTCTTGTCCTCCAAGATGGGAGACTTCCAGGCCCTCGACCTCCTCGAGAAATGCAGCCGCGGTAGTTTGTTGTTCCTCTGAAGTAGACGGTATTGCAGCTTCCTCTTCTGTCCTGGACTTATCTCTTGAACGAGGCATTTGAGAAGTCTTGTCGGTATTATAAATTAATGCTGTAGTGTCTTCATGCTCTTCCGTAGCGTCAGCTTTGACTGTCTCTGGATCCACGTGCTTGGCATGATGCTGGGCACTTGGTGGGGGGAGATGCTGGGCACTTGGTTCGGGGTGATGCTGGGCACTTGGTGGGGGTTGAGTGGAAAATATAATATCGTTATTCTCCTTCACCGTAGCATCATATTTGTGTTGCATATCACTGCTACTGTTGCTTCTTACATTTGTTCTGTCCTCCATGTTTTGACCAGCAATCATCTCCACATCGATGTTCCATGCTGTCTCATTATTTGCTGTAGAGCTGTACTCTTGGTGTATCGGCGGCCTCTCATTAGTCACGTTATTTGGCCTTATTGGAGCAACACTTTCCCCGTTACTGACCTTCAGGAGTGACCATATGCCGCCTCCTGGATACTTCGCAGTGAGGAAGATCACAAGGTACACAATGCAAATGAGTACAGTGGTCATCACTCGTTTGGTGATAATGACCATTACTGTGGCTCCCTCTCTATTGGTTGCTGGTTGTACAGTGTCTGGTGAGGTGGTATATGCAGGTGGTACTGAAAGGAACAGTGTTTAGCTGCGGTTCTCTGGGACGTAAATGTTGATATAATATTATATTGTCCCAAAACTAACTTTCAGTTTTATGAAATGTTTTCAACGTTACTCGGCAGCAGTGTTGCCCTGAGAGCAGTTTATTTTAGCTCGAACTTGTAAACAAATACGTAAAGGAGAGTGATTATGATATAAGCTTTGAAAGCTCGTGTTTATGGTCACGTTTATGTCTTCTGAAGCTCTTAACAATTGTAATGCGTCGCGCTCCTGCTTGTTATTTGTTCAAGCTTAGTAAGTGGTTAGCCAGGCACTTGGTGGGTGGTTGATGCCGGGCACTTGGTGGGGGTTGATGCCGGGCACTTGGTGGGTGGTTGATGCCGGGCACTTGGTGGGTGGTTGATGCCGGGCACTTGGTGGGGGTTGATGCCGGGCACTTGGTGGGTGGTTGATGCCGGGCACTTGGTGGGGGTTGATGCCGGGCACTTGGTGGGTGGTTGATGCCGGGCACTTGGTGGGGGTTGATGCCGGGCACTTGGTGGGGGTTGATGCCGGGCACTTGGTGGGGGGTGATGCCGGGCACTTGGTGGGGCGTTGATGCCGGGCACTTGGTGGGGGTTGATGCCGGGCACTTGGTGGGGGTTGATGCCGGGCACTTGGTGGGTGGTTGATGCCGGGCACTTGGTGGGGGTTGATGCCGGGCACTTGGTGGGGGTTGATGCCGGGCACTTGGTGGGGGTTGATGCCGGGCACTTGGTGGGGGTTGATGCCGGGCACTTGGTGGGTGGTTGATGCCGGGCACTTGGTGGGTGGTTGATGCCGGGCACTTGGTGGGGGTTGATGCCGGGCACTTGGTGGGGGTTGATGCCGGGCACTTGGTGGGTGGTTGATGCCGGGCACTTGGTGGGGCGTTGATGCCGGGCACTTGGTGGGTGGTTGATGCCGGGCACTTGGTGGGTGGTTGATGCCGGGCACTTGGTGGGTGGTTGATGCCGGGCACTTGGTGGGGCGTTGATGCCGGGCACTTGGTGGGGCGTTGATGCTGGGCACTTGGTGGGTGGTTGATGCCAGGCACTTGGTGGGTGGTTGATGATGGGCACTTGGTGGGTGGTTGATGCCGGGCACTTGGTTGGGCGTTGATGCCGGGCACTTGGTGGGTGCTTGATGATGGGCACTTGGTGGGTGGTTGATGCCGGGCACTTCGTGGGTGGTTGATGCCGGGCACTTGGTGGGTGGTTGATGCCGGGCACTTGGTGGGGCGTTGATGCCGGGTACTTGGTGGGTGGTTGATGCCGGGCACTTGGTGGGGGGTTGATGCCGGGCACTTGGTGGGGGGTTGATGCCGGGCACTTGGTGGGGGGTTGATGCCGGGCACTTGGTGGGTGGTTGATGCCGGGCACTTGGTGGGTGGTTGATGCCGGGCACTTGGTGGGGGGTTGATGCCGGGCACTTGATGGGGGGTTGATGCCGGGCACTTGGTGGGGGTTGATGCTGGGCACTTGGTGGGTGGTTGATGCTGGGCACTTGGTGGGGGTGATGCTGGGCACTTGGTGGGTGGTTGATGCTGGGCACTTGGTGGGGGTTGATGCCGGGCACTTGGTGGGTGGTTGATGCTGGGCACTTGGTGGGGGGTGATGCTGGGCACTTGGTGGGTGGTTGATGTTGGGCACTTGGTGGGGGGTGATGCTGGGCACTTGGTGGGTGGTTGATGCTGGGCACTTGGTGGGGGTTGATGCCGGGCACTTGGTGGGTGGTTGATGCTGGGCACTTGGTGGGGGGTGATGCTGGGCACTTGGTGGGTGGTTGATGTTGGGCACTTGGTGGGGGGAGATGCTGGGCACTTGGTAGGGGTTGATGCCGGGCACTTGGTGGGTGGTTGATGCTGGGCACTTGGTGGGGCGCTGATGCTGGGCACTTAGTGGGGCGTTGTTGCTGGGCACTTGGTGGGGCGTTGATGCTGGGCACTTGGTGGGGCGTTGATGCCGGGCACTTGGTGGGGGGGGTGATGCTGGGCACTTAGTGGGGGTTGATGCCGGGCACTTGGTGGGGGGTGATGCCGGGCACTTGGTGGGGGGGTGATGCCGGGCACTTGGTGGGGCGTTAATGCCGGGCACTTGGTGGGGGGGTGATGCCGGGCACTTGGTGGGGGGTGATGCCGGGCACTTGGTGGGTGGTTGATGCCGGGCACTTGGTGGGTGGTTGATGCCGGGCACTTGGTGGGGCGTTAATGCCGGGCACTTGGTGGGGGGGTGATGCCGGGCACTTGGTGGGGGTTGATGCCGGGCACTTGGTGGGGGTTGATGCCGGGCACTTGGTGGGGGTGATGCCGGGCACTTGGTGGGGGGTTGATGCCGGGCACTTGGTGGGGGTTGCTGCCGGGCACTTGGTGGGGGTTGATGCCGGGCACTTGGTGGGTGGTTGATGCCGGGCACTTGGTGGGGGTTGATGCTGGGGACTTGGTGGGGGTTGATGCCGGGCACTTGGTGGGGGTTGATGCCGGGCACTTGGTGGGCGGTTGATGCCGGGCACTTGGTGGGCCGGGTTGATGCCGGGCACTTAGTGGGTGGTTGATGCCGGGCACTTGGTGGGGGGTGATGCTGGACACTTGGTGGGGCGTTGATGCTGGACACTTGGTGGGGGGGTGATGCCGGGCACTTGATGGGGCGTTGATGCTGGGCACTTAGAGGGGGTGATGCTGGGCACTTAGTGGGGGTGATGCTGGGCACTTGGTGGTGGTTGATGCCGGGCACTTGGTGGCTGGTTGATGCCGGGCACTTGGTGGGTGGTTGATGCCGGGCACTTGGTGGGTGGTTGATGCCGGGCACTTGGTGGGTGGTTGATGCCGGGCACTTGGTGGGTGGTTGATGCTGGGCACTTGGTGGGTGGTTGATGCCGGGCACTTGGTGGGTGGTTGATGCCGGGCACTTGGTGGGGCGTTGATGCCGGGCACTTGGTGGGGGGGGGGTGATGCCGGGCATTGGTGGGGGTTGATGCCGGGCACTTGGTGGGTGGTTGATGCCGGGCACTTGGTGGGTGGTTGATGCCGGGCACTTGGTGGGTGGTTGATGCCGGGCACTTAGTGGGGGTGATGCCGGGCACTTGGTGGGGCGTTGATGCTGGGCACTTGGTGGGGCGTTGATGCCGGGCACTTGGTGGGGGGTTGATGCCGGGCACTTGGTGGGTGGTTGATGCCGGGCACTTGGTGGGTGGTTGATGCTGGGCACTTGGTGGGGGTTGATGCCGGGCACTTGGTGGGTGGTTGATGCCGGGCACTTGGTGGGTGGTTGATGCCGGGCACTTGGTGGGTGGTTGATGCCGGGCACTGGGGGGGTTGATGCCGGGCACTTGGTGGGTGGTTGATGCACTTGGTGGGTGGTTGATGCTGGGCACTTGGTGGGGGTTGATGCCGGGCACTTGGTGGGGCGTTGATGCCGGGCACTTGGTGGGGGTTGATGCCGGGCACTTGGTGGGGGTTGATGCCGGGCACTTGGTGGGTGGTTGATGCCGGGCACTTGGTGGGGGTTGATGCCGGGCACTTGGTGGGTGGTTGATGCTGGGCACTTGGTGGGTGGTTGATGCTGGGCACTTGGTGGGGGTTGATGCCGGGCACTTGGTGGGTGGTTGATGCCGGGCACTTGGTGGGGGTTGATGCCGGGCACTTGGTGGGTGGTTGATGCCGGGCACTTGGTGGGGGTTGATGCCGGGCACTTGGTGGGGCGTTGATGCCGGGCACTTGGTTGGGCGTTGATGCTGGGCACTTGGTGGGGGTTGATGCTGGGCACTTGGTGGGGGTGATGCTGGACACTTGGTGGGGGGTGATGCTGGGCACTTGGTGGGGGTGATGCTGGGCACTTGGTGGGGGGTGATGCCGGGCACTTGGTGGGGGTGATGCTGGGCACTTGGTGGGGGTGATGCCGGGCACTTGGTGGGGGGTGATGCTGGGCACTTGGTGGGGGGTGATGCTGGGCACTTGGTAGAATATTGCAACCCTGATTATTATCAACAAAGAAGCAATGTTATTTACAACCATTTGGCATTTTGTGAGAGAAACATATACCATACACACGAGTCTATCATATCCGAGGCATTATGTCGTGTATATAAACTTGCCGAGTTGAATAATAGTCGAGTATTCTGCTATGTACAATACCATTATCTAATACACCAATATAAGTGATCGAGAAAGCTGTTTGTATATTTTCCGAGCAGCAAGTGAAGCTTTAATTCTTGTAGCCGAAGGATGGTTTCAACACTGGTCGAAACGGTCACTGCGTCTTGCTCAGTGAGAGGTTCCTTGTATGCTTGAGTATAGCTCCAGGAAACCTGCGCCAACCTGCGGGAAACTTGGCGATGTATATCCTAAAATTAGCCTTGACTGTGATTCGCCACGTTGGGTCTTGTGCCGTGTTAACACTTGCGCTTCTGGGCCAGATTCACGAAGCAGTTACCCAAGCACTTACGAACCTGTACATCTTTTCTCAATCTTTGGCGGCTTTGTTTACAATTATTAAACAGTTAATGAGCACCGAAGCACCAGGAGGCTGTTTATAACAATAACAACAGTTGATTGGCAAGTTTTCATGCTTGTAAACTGTTTAATAAATGTAACCACAGCCGTCAAAGATTAAGGAAAGATGTACACGTTCGTAAGTGCTTGCGTAACTGCTTCGTGAATCTGGCCCCATTAGTTGATTGTGAATGTGTATTATATCGAAGTGTGTGTATGTTATTAGTTATGGTTGACGACTTGTGTTGGTGGGCCGGGAGCAGCCGTCCGGTACTTTAGGGTGGGGGGGGGGGACAGTGTTGTGTACTGGTCCTGCAGATGATGAGGATGAAGATGATGAAGATGATATATCTACAGCTTAGTACTCTTCAAAAGTGTCTTCACCCCCATGACAAGTTTGGCCTCAGTC